AAGTTCCCTCTGCTCTGGGTAGAAGCATGATTGAATCCCAGGATAGGAACATATCCGAGCCGCCCCCCAAACCCGAGCCATCATTGTGCTTTTCAGAAGGGTTCCTTTGTTTCCCCAGCTACTTTTCCAAGTTTGTTGGCCAGACTCTGCACCTTTAGGCTGTGACTGACAACAGAAGTGCAGCAAAACAGTATGAAGAAAGAGGGTTTTCTCCTCGGATTCCTGACCTGAGCAGAAATAGGCAGTGCTGGCAATACTGCAAACCCCATCTTCCTTGAAAACTTGCCAGGCCACTTCTGCAGACTGTAGGCATTTGGGCAGTCCAGATGAACTCTGGATAACCACCCAGATTTTTGGGTTTGCCCATCACTAAAAATATCACAGACTGGAGGGCACTGTCTTGAGCTGAGTCTCCGAGCACTCTGCAGCTCACCCAGCCCTGGTTGAAGTGCTCATTATAACCTGGCAGGGAATGCAATCTGGGTTCCAAACTGTGGCTATTTTTAAAGTCATCTGGCCAGTTGGAGACTGAAAAGAAAACCAGAATGATCAATAATTTGCTGTTCTTGATGCGACATTTGCGAGCAGCGTCTGTAACAGCACGTACCTGTAGGTCAATGGCGTGCAGCAAAGCAACTGTTGAGAGTTGTACTTTTTCTGTAGCGTCCAAAATAATAGTAATAATGATTTTAAAAGCCTCCAAACTCTGTTACAAATTTTAGTTACCTCCTACTCGTGGCTTCCCACACACACCAGGAAACCAGCTAGCTTTCACAGCTGCTCTGCAGCAAGCTCTTCACAAGCACGAGTACGACCATACTTACTTTAAAGGAGGCTGGAGGTTTCCCTTGCAGATGACTTTACTATGTTTTCCTACCAGCCATAAGGCCAGAGATGTCAAGCCATATGGTGGGCATGTGCACCAGTGTGATCAGGTGAAACAATGGGAAGGAAGGCTGGCTGCATTTAATACATTTGGGAATCCCCTTCCCAGAGAAGCTTGTTGTTCCTAGACAGAGGAAAATCACCACACCATTAAAAGACCCAGTAAAAACAGTAGAACTGTTTTGCAAACCATTAAAGAGGAGTTTGCAAAGGTGGTAGTGGGTAGGCTGTTGTCAGGGACAGCCAGCTTGGGAAAGTACTGTTAAGGTGAGATCTGTATGCAGAGTGGGAGAGAGGAAGGGTGATGGGAGAGGTATGCTCATTGCAAAGATGACCCTGAAAAGCAAGCGAGCAGGGTGTGAAATCCAAAGAAAGCACAGTGAATAAGCTGAGAGTCAAGAATTACAGCAGTATCCCTTGTTTTAGAGTGTGAGGAAGGAGGGACCTGGGGACAGGGATTGCAAACCTCTTGGTATGTTTATTTTCTATCTGCGTGAAACAATAATGGATTATCTACGTTTAATAGGAGTTTATGACCCAGTGAGTGATATTTAAAGGACTCAATGATGCATTTAATAAGCAAACATCCTTCCTGATTAGTGCTCATTTGATCTCTTGAGGATAGAGCTCCCTCTGACTGAGGTTTTAAAGAAATGCCCTTGTCTCCCTTTAGCTCACGCCAGAGTCTGGGGATGCTGCAGACCTCAGGAATAGGATGAGAAATTAGTTTTGCCTGAGAACGTATGAACTATATGGTTTATACGTTTGTGGTTGCACCCTCATAGTGTGCTGTTAGAAGGATGCAGAAGTCGGAAAGCTGAAGTCCTGCTGGTTCTTCATTAAACTGATTTTTTCCTTTCTTTCAAGGCTCTTTGAGCATTTATGCTCAAAGCCATTTGCAAAGGTGAACAAAAGTGACCTCAAGTGACCTGTGTGATATTAGTGATTTAAATAAAAACATAAAAGGGATGACCTTGTGCCACTTGGCAGAGGCTCAGTTTCTCCTGTTCTGGGACTGCATTTTCACAAATAGACCAGCTCAGATTCTCAGCTCTTCACCTGATGGGCAAAGAAGAATCAGAGAGATAGAGCATTATTTCTGGCATTGATAATCCACTTCTACAGCGATTACTCCTTGTCCTTTATTTCTGGTCCCATATATAATCAGTGTCTCTGGCCACATCCCTTCCTTGGTATCTGTTGTGCTTTCTGGGATTCCTCCTAGGGAGAGGAAATCAGCCTTCACCTTAATCTTGCAAAGGTTTCTCTTTTCCAGTCTAACCCCCTCAAAACCTCTTAGATCAGTTCCAGTGAAAGGCCCGGGCGAATATCCCAGTTATCTATCCCACCACTGTCCAAACTTACAGGCAAGCATAAAATGACTGCTGCAGTCCGTGCATTGCATCATTTTTAACCTCCTGCTGTAGGAGCTCTGAAGGCAGGATTTGTACCAGGAGCTGATGAATGGTGGCTCTTTCCTTCCTGTTTACTCTGTGACAACCTTCCCAAGTTAATCACTGTTAGACAGACGTGCAAACAAATCTTTGCCCAACTCAGCAGCCTTATGTCCTCCTTTAACATGGGTTACTGTGGCACAGCAGATGAGGGAAAACACTGAGGTACTTCTCCAGGGTTTCCTACAAATTGCAGGGAGGGATTTACCACCCATAGCAGAGTAAAAACCAGCTCCCTCCTGTAGAAGCCTCTTGCCTGCATGCTGGCTTTGCTGCTCTTAACCGAGCTCCTTAGAGAGGAGTTTTATAGGCACAGGCATCAACATCACCCAGATCAGCCTTAATTTCATTAACCACTCCTCCACAATAAGGAGAAAAAGCTTCCTCCCTGTACCCCCCCATGCCTGCCCCTGCATCTCGAGGACCCTCTCTACCTCCATCAAGAACCCACCGGCCACAGCAGGAGCTTTCAGGTGCTTTATTCAGCATGGACCAGCCTCCACCATCCGCCCTCGCTTTGGTTCCCCAGAAGAGTCACAAAACTTTTGATGACCTTGTGTTCTGCTCCCAAAAAAAAGGTTAACAGCCTTTGGGGCTTTTCCTTTTCCCTTCCCCTTCAGAAAGGCAGCTTAGTTTCAGTGATAAAAATAAACAAGGCAATTGCAACGTCCCAATGGATCCAAGCCTGGTTTAACTCAGTAGAGGGGCACTTCACCCCGTTTCTTTTGTCAATTAGGCTTGCCACTGAAACCTGCACTTGAATGTCAATGCTTATTTTTATTTGGGCTTGATTTATTTCTAAGTTCATCCTTCTAAGTTTGCTTCTAAAGCTGATTCTTTACTGCATCGTAATAAAAACATGTTACAACCCATGGATCCCTACGAAAAAGGTACAGCAGTTTCTATCTTCTCACGCAAACCTTTTAAAAGCAGTTCGTATGAGAAGTCATTTGAGTCAGTATGAGATTCAGAGCAGCCCTGTGGAGAAGGACTTGGGGGTGCTGGTTGATGAGAAAATGAACACGAGCAGGCAGTGTGTGCTCACAGCCCAGAAAGCAACCGTATCCTGGGCTGCATCAAGAGGAGCGTGACCAGCAGGTCAAAGGAGGTGATCCTGCCCCTCTGCTCTTGTGAGACCCCACTTGCAGCACTGTGTGCAGTTCTGGTGTTCTCAGCATCAGAAGGACATGGAACTGTTGGAGCAAGTCCAGAGGAGGCCACGAGGATGCTCATGGGCTGGAGCACCTCCTGTATGGAGACAGGCTGAGAAAGTTGGGGCTGTTCAGCCTGGAGAAGAGAAGCTGCGTGGAGACCTCAGAGCAGCTTCCAGTGTCTGAAGGGGGCTACAAGGATGCTGGAGAGGGACTCTTCATCAGGGACTGTAGTGGTAGGACAAGGGGTGATGGGTTCAAACTGAAACAGGGAAAGTTTAGATTGGATATAAGGAGGAAATTCTTTCCTGTTAGGGTGGTGAGGCACTGGAATGGGTTGCCCAGGGAGGTTGTGAATGCTCCATCCCTGGCAGTGTTCAAGGCCAGGTTTGACGAAGCCTTGGGTGAGATGGTTTAGTGTGAGGTGTCCCTGCCCATGGCAGGGGGTTGGAACTGCATGATCTTAAGGTCCTTTCCAGCACAAACTATTCTATAATTCTATGATTTATGAATGTTGTTTGTATACACTGTTATTCTAATGCCCTGTAAATAATAACCTGTCTATTCTCCACAGCACGATCTGAAACTTTACATAGTAACAGCCATTCAGAGAATCAGCCCTGTCTGGTATGTGACAGATTGACACACACACAAATTCATTTTTACTTGAAATACCGAAATAAAAGTGCCTTCTGTACTTTCTGCAGAATATTGCACCTTGAAATGGGTCCAGTGGTTTCACTGTACCTGTGGATACATTTTCTGCTGCTCCTATTGCTTTAAAAGTGTTATTCATTCAGAAGGATTGATTTGGTGTTCTGTCCACATGGCTCAAAAGCTACCGTCTGTTCATCTGTTAATCTGTTTGGGCATCTTGCAATGATAGAGCTATAGAAACCACTTTTTGTTTCTGTCCAAGCAGTGACCAAACTAAAAACCATAAAAAAGGAACTGCTTGATCCTCGGGATCATATCCATAAAAATACCTGTACCACTGAGACGGCTGAAAGCACACATTTCTATATTCTGCCAGTGGTGTGCTAGAAGCACAGTGCATTTGTTTCTGCCTTATTAGTCGGATGCTGGGGCAGGGGAACCAGGAGGAGACCCTGCAGCAGCAGCAGAAGATGCTTTCTGTAAGATCATGACCTCCATTCCAGTGTCATTTCATACCTCAGGCAGTGATCTTGTTACATCTCATAAGCTAAGCAAGGTCAGCCCTGGTCAGGCTAAGCACTTGAATAGGAAACTTCTAAGGCAAAACTCAAGCGCTGTGGAAAGTGTGGAAAGTGAGGCTGGTGGCTGGGTAGGTGACATTATTCCCTTGGAGTTGGTACAAAAGGCTTGCTCTGTTAAGAAGCTTCTGTGCCTCTGCTGTGACTGTGCTCCGGCAGCTAAAGGCACTGCCTCTCAGGTGGGTCAGACCCAGAGGCTGCAGTGGCTGAAGTTGTTAACAACATTTCTTCCCAGTTCATAGACTCACAGAAGGGTTTGGGTTGGAAAGGACCAGGTTGCTCCAAGCCCCTGTGTCCAACCTGGCCTTGAACACTGCCAGGGATGGGGCAGCCACAGCTTCTCTGGGCACCCTGTGCCAGCGCCTCAGCACCCTCACAGGGAAGAACTTCTGCCTTAGATCTAACCTGAACTTCCCCTGTTCCAGTCTGAGCCCATCACCCCTTGTCCTGTCGCTACAGTCCCTGATGCAGAGGTGTTAACCCCACTGGCCTGCCTCAGCTCCATGCTGGGGGATTACATATATCCCCAGCAGCTCTCCCCTGCAGTTCCCATAGGAGAGGTCATGCTTTGCTTTACTCCCCTGGAAAGCTAGCACAGGCAGTAATGTTAGCAGGCTTTATCCCAAGCATCCTGAAGCCTGGGAGGAGACAGATTCAACATGAATGTGGTGGGTGAAAACCCTGCCGTTTTGGAAGGGTACTTGCTCAAGAAAGGGAAAGAGTGAAAAGCCAAGAAATGCTCACATGAAAATCCCCCTGGCACTCCCAGCTCTCTTGCCCTCTTCCCTTCTGTTCCCAGTCACAGCCTGTCTTCTCCAAGGACCCTCACCTTGGCCGGGGCACAAGTCCCTTTGATGCCCTGCTGTATCAGGGAAGGGACTGACTACCTGGTGCAAGGGAAAGTGCTGCTCCCCTCATGCTCTTGCAGAAGGCTCTTTCTGCCCTCAGAGGGCTCTGCTCAAGAAGTGGATGTTTCATTTTGCTGTAGTTTCTGACAGCAACACAAAGATTTTTGAGAGAAAGGGCAACTTTGCAGCACGCTTTGCTCATTGGATGAGCAAAGGGATTACTGCTATGGAAAGCAGGTAAGATGAAAACCTCAAACCCGCATCTCTAATGACACCTACACTTGAAAGTATTCAAATATATGGTACAATGTTTAGAGAGATGACTGATTTGGTATGTTATCAAAACAATACTCTTAGCCTTAGAACCATAGAATTAACTGGGTTGGAAAAGACGTTTAAGGTCATCCAGTCCAACCATTCCCCAGTGCTGCTAAGACCACCACTAACCCATGGCACTGAGGTCTACATGCCTTTTACACCTTATTTGTGTGCTCTACATTTTAATGCTGCATCTCATGCCTGAAAGTGTTATTCTTAACGTTTGTATTCTGAATTTTCTCAAGTGGAAGATGTTTCCTGACCCTGCTCTCTATCTCCCAGTTGCAAAACAAGTGGGAAGTTGAAAGCTCAGGCAAAATCCTAAGGATGAACCAATTCAGGCCAGCAAAAGTAGAACCAGCCAAAAAGTTTTGCTTGGTCTATGGATTAAAGTTCCCTTCATTCATTCAAAGGAGTCCTCCAGAAGACTCATTGCTATCTCCTGTTGGCACAGTGACTCCCCCATCAGTTAGCACAGTAATCTCGTGTGCCCTTGTCTAAGCATGCATGCAAGGCACTCGGTGCCTGTGCTTTCAGATGCAACACAGAGGGAAACACTGCTGGTCTGAACCTCGTTTTTGAAACCCTTATCTTCATGAGAGTTTCAGAGCTGGTGTTGGCTCCCTGGCAAGCAGCTGGTGGAGTTCTTCACAGCCCCTTCCCAACAAACAAACAGTCAAAACCAACCCAGAATTCCACTTAAGTGCCTTAAAAAGTATTCTTTGTGTTTGATGCTTGCTTTCCCAGTCATCTAGGAAATGCCATGCCACAAAGTGGCATTAGGTGAACAATAGAAATAGATGCTCTCTCAAATCCCCTTCATTTGTGTTTGTTGCTGTTGTGATTCTTCACCTGCTGGCCTTTATCTAGCGAAGCAAGGTGAGTTCAAAGACAGCTCTAGAGGTCTGTAACGATTTTAATGATGAGGTGAAGTTGGAAGGTCTTGTGTATTATGAACTTAATGGGGCATTCTTCTCATTTACGCTGACATCCTTTACATGGAGTTGTAAAAAGGAAAAGTTATGGACAAGTGCTCACAAGCGATTGATTTATTAAGAAATAAGTGCCCCTTAGCTGTAAGGGAAGGCCCAGCGAGGCAAACAAATTCTTAATAAGACCATATAATCCTACTTGAGTTACAATGGGCTTAAGTCCCCATTGTCTTCTCACATTTGCTTGCTCTCCTATATGAAGCCACCAGGTAAAGAACAATGACAAGAATCAATAAGAGAACTGTGTGAATAACCGTGATTTTTATTTTCCCTGGATGTGCTGAAAAATCGAAAGAGAAATTCATTTGCAATGAATCCATTTCATCACGTTAACTGTAGTGTTTTCTTTAGCCTCACATTAAGTAATTTTTCTCTGGCTTCAGCATCTACAAGTTTTTAATTGAAAAATACATAAAAAGAGCTATCAGAAGTGGCAGGCGTTAGTGGGACAGAAGTAGCACTGATTTGTGTTTTTTTCAATACCAAAATGCAAGGTTCAGATTGGTTTTAATGGATTTTTTTTTTTGTAGTACTACAAATAATCCACTGACATTTTCAAACCATTTTATTGTCACCAAAGCACATATGGCTATGAATCTTAGAATCACAGAATGGTTAGGGTTGGAAAGGACCTTAAGATCATCCAGTTCCAACCCCCTGCCATGGACAGGGACACCTCACACTAAACCATGTCACACAAGGCTCTGTCCAGCCTGGCCTTGAACACTGCCAGGGATGGAGCATTCACAGCCTCCCTGGGCAACCCATTCCAGTGCCTCACCACCCTAACAGGAAAGAATTTCCTCCCTATATCCAATCTAAACTTCCCCTGTTTCAGTCTGAACCCATCACCCCTTGTCCTATCACTACAGTCACTACTGAAGAGTCCCTCCCCAGCATCCCTATAGCCCCCCTTCAGACACTGGAAGCTGCTCTGAGGTCTCCACGCAGCTTCTCTTCTCCAGGCTGAACAGCCCCAACTTTCTCAGCCCATTTGCTGCGGATCTACTCTGTAGCCACATTTCCAGTGTTGATGCTGAACCTGTTTATTCCCAGCAATTCATCACTCCCGTCACATGCAGTGATATGCATGAGACTGTCATAGGCACGCAGGAAGGGATTTTATTATGGAGCATTATTATGGGGAGGTATGGCTCTTTCTTTTGGAGTTTGGGGTAATTATGTAGAGAGAAAACTAATGTCTGAAGGATCACAGAACAAAAATCTTTTGGTGAACTTTTCCTGGTTTTAGAATTGAAGCATCACACAACTTCCATTGCAAGTATTTTCTGCAACAATTCCAAAGAGCTGAACGTTTTCAAGGTGTGTAAATCCATCTGTGCCTGCTTTCCCAGAGGCTGCAATAGACTATTTTAAGACTGGACTAGAAGGCAGACAATACATTGGGGTTTGTCAGGAAACAGAGTCAAACCAAGAGCTCAAGTTAGCATTGCCAGCCCAAAATAAATAGCTGAGTAACTGCAAGTTATAGAGGAAATGCTCAGTTTAATACATTCATTTTGGTCCAGGAAGTGATGTCAAGCTATTGTCAATGGGAAGTGGTGAAACCCAACAGGTAGTACAACGGCAGGGAAGTCTGTAAGTGTTTGCAGGACAACCCCCGTGCCTTCTGGATGAACTTGGCCACTCACCTCCCCTCCACTTCCCCCTTCCTTATCTATCCCCACAACACCCTGTCATGTGGGGACAAAATGACTTTGTGAAAGTCATGCAGAAAACCAGGAATGCCGTTGTCCCCTGGGTTTCCTTGTGATGGGCTGGCATGCAACTGGGAGACCTGTGTTTTTAAGCAAGATTTAGAGATTATTAAATATAAGATTATTTTGGACTGTCTGCTTATTTGTCCTATTTACAAGTAGGGGAAAAAAAGTTTGCCTTTTTCTTTTCAGAAGATGCTTTCTGCACTGAGCGCTACCAGGTCTTTATCTTCACTTAGATGTTCCTACTTGTAAGAGGAAGGCTGAGCCATTGCTTTGGTAAAGCAAACATCTAGTTCAGGAAAGGAAGGTAGGCAAGTAAATTGAAGGGTTGGTGCCTCAACAAATGTTTGATAATATTAACAGACTGTGACTGTAATAGAGCAAACTTTGAAGAGGGCCGTCAGGAGCCCAACCACACAGAGAAGCACCCAGCTGGACTTGGTACATGGTACAAAGTAAGCTGGAAAAGTCTTAAACAACAGTTACCAAAGGAGAAGAGGAAGGCAATGGGAGAACGGGGCTGCTTCTGCAGGGAAGACCACAACAGCTTTCCTGGAGTAAGAGCCGAGCTAAGCCAGGGCTAAGAAAGGGCTAAGCAAACACATGGGAAGTAGCCACAATGAAATGGGTAAACCAAAAATAGTTCACTTGTAGCACAAAATAGGCAGATCTGCAAAAAATGTTGAGTCTACAACTGCAACCATGCGCTGGGCTGCATCAAAAGCAGCGTGAGCAGCAGGTCAAGGGATGTGACCCTGTTCCTCTGCTCTGCTCTGGTGAGACCCCGCTTGCAGCACTGTGTGCAGCTCTGGTGTCCTCAATATTGGAAGGACATGGAGCTGTTGGAGCAAGTCCAGAGGAGGCCATGGGGATGCTCAGGGGCTGGAGCACCTCCCATATGAAGACAGGCTAAGAACACTGGGGCTGTTCAGCCTGGAGAAGAGAAGCTGCGTGGAGACCTCAGAGCAGCTTCCAGTGTCTGAAGGGGGCTACAAGGATGCTGGAGAGGGACTCTTCATCAGGGACTGTAGTGGTAGGACAAGGGGTGATGGGTTCAAACTGAAACAGGGCAAGTTCAGGTTGGATCTAAGGCAGAAGTTCTTCCCTGTGAGGGTGCTCAGGCACTGTCACAGGGTGCCCAGAGAAGCTGTGGCTGCCCCATCCTTGGCAGTGTTCAAGGCCAGGTTGGACACAGGGGCTTGGAGCAACCTGGTCTGGTGTGAGGTGTCCCTGCCCGTGGCAGGGGTTGGAACTGGATGATCCTGATGTCCTTTCCAACCCAAACCAGCCTGGGATTCTATGATTTTATGTGTCTGTCTTCTCATGGACACCAGACTCCAGACGGCCAGACGTGTTTCTGAACTGGAGGAAGAAAGAGGGCCCTGTGACAAAGTGATGGTCCCTGATTTCCCATGGCCGTATTTTTAGATGCATTACTGGGCAAGGAAACCTGTCAGCCAGGCATGCACTGAAATTCACTGTGGCTTTGTTCACAGTGGGACACATGCTCACGCTGACCATCAGCCAGTGGATCCACCTCTTGGTGTGCCTGAAACAGAGCTTTTCATGTTCAAAGGGGACGGGAGGTTTGAAGGTTTGGAGACTGGCGCAGGGTATGAAGGTGCCTGCCTCTGATCTTCATATGCCTCAGTTCTCCCAGGAAAACCCAAGCTAATTGCTGTTTTAAAAGACTATTTAATTTTAAAACCTTCCCCCCCCCCCATTACTAAGGCATGGCTTTCATCATGGAAAACCTATGTGCCGTTTGAAGAGGAAGTAAGGAAACGTGAGGCGGGCTCTTGCATGTGCTAAAAATGGTGTGTGTGTAGGGACAGCCAAGAAAGTCACTTCACAGGAGATACAAATTGAGTGCTTCCATTCTATGGGGCTTTGCTAGGCCCAACTAATTAATGTTTGCAAAGCACTTTGAAGATGAAAAGCACCAACTTATCGCTAAGTTTAATTATTTGCATCATGTTACTTAAGACTTTCACTAGCTGCCTTCAAACACCACCAAACACTTCCTGCTATATGATGAGCCAGCTGAAGAGTTCAAGTCAGAGTGTCAGGAGGTGGTTAAGGACTCTGAGATGGGAGCATAGTCACAGTGCACTGAGGAGTCCTGGTCTGAAGCTGGAGGGTGGGTTCAATGTATACACCTTGACTTTGCTTTTACTGGACCTGTGGTTTTCAGAGTCACCTGTGCAGCACCTCAGCACCTTCACTGGGAAGATCTTCTTCCTTATCTCCAACCTGAACTTGCCCTGTTTCAGTCTGAACCCATCACCCCTTGTCCTATCCCTACAGTCCCTGATGAAGAGTCCCTCTCCAGCATCCTGGTAGCCCCCTTCAGACACTGGAAGCTGCTCTGAGGTCTCCACGCAGCTTCTCTTCTCCAGGCTGAACAGCCCCAATGTTCTCAGCCTGTCTCCACACAGGAGGTGCTCCAGTCCCCTGATCATCCTCGTGGCCTCCTCTGGACTTGCTCCAACAGTTCCATGTCCTTCTTAAAGGGTTCCTATTGAGTTTCTAATGAATTCCAACCCCTCTTTTAAATTTAGTCTGTAATTAGGGCTCTTTTACATTGCCAATTAAAAGGAAAACAATTTTGGATAGGGTCACATTTACACTGCACTGTCATGTTTCCAACACATGCCATTAGCACTGGTGATGAACATGAACTTTTGCTGCTAATGGTGTGCATGCCGGCCAGCAATCCTACTAGATAACAGATGTTAAAAACATGAATGCAAGCTCAGATGTAGATGTACCAACAGGAGGAAGTATAAGGAAAGCAATCACTTAAGCAGCAACCTCTGCTCTTGGGAAGAGAAAAGCTGTAAACAGAAAAGACTAAATTCATTGGGCAGCTCATCAGGTGCAATAAATCAACTTGATGCCATAGACTGCAGACTTTATGTTAAATGGACCATTGTTGTTCACACTGCTATAGCCAATATTGTCTGCTTTTTTTCAGATTAAGTAGTTAAAAGATCCCTCATCACATTATTATACCTGTCTCTGCAAGTGAGGCATTTTACTTCTTCAAATAGCATCCCGAGGGGACATTTAATTCTGACTGATTTTCTCATTAAAAAGTATGGTTCTACTCGTGCGAAACAGAATGTCCTAGTAAAATAGGACATGATAGGGCCAGAGATTGATGGGTTCAACACAAGGATTGAAATCTTCATTACTGACAGAAGCGTCTGCAGAATTAATGATAACTTTGGGTTCTCCTCTCATCTATCTCAGTGGGATGCTGCTCATCATTTCCTGATGATTAAAAAGGAAAATGTACCTTAGCATTTGTAAACTCTAATCAGAAACCAACATTAGCTCTAAAGATGAAAAAGTGCCATCAGACAGAGATAACTGGGGGGGTTTGCCCGAACTGAACTTGGAATTGTTTGGGAGACTCTCTTTGCTGCATCCTCCCTGCACCTCCTGATTCAGCTGCAGACCAGAGGACTGAGGCACAGAGGGCATCCCTAAATCTGACACTTCCTCAGTAATCTCCTGAGAGTCTTTGCAAGGTTTCCAAGCTAGCGCTTACCTCAGCAAGGTTTGCACACACACGGAGTGCAGAAGCTCTGGAAATCCCAGGCATTTTCTCCTGTCCTTTGCCATAGGTCCAAGAGTGCCTGCAGTAGAAGGGGCTTGAGGGGTAAAAGCTGCTTGTACCTGCAGCAGCGGCTGCTCACCAGTAATTGATGGCCATATCTGACCCTTTGCTTTTAGGAGGAGACTTAAAGGGCCGGGCAGGGCAGGCTCCTTCTAACAAAGAAGTAGATGTGTGTACAGGAGCACGTATTTGCACTTTTCCTTCTTTAAGGCCGACCCTCTTCTGCAGCACCATGGAGCGTGTTCTTAGGGAGCTGAGACCGGATCTTCATTTAGTTTTTCCTCCTTTTCATCTGCAGTGCAGATTCCTGACACATCCATTACTCATTCTGCACTTGTTTCACAGACACGATCCCTGCAGAAATCAAGAGAAGTCCTACGTGGAGCAAAAGGCACAGAAAGTGCAACACAGATTTGCACCATGGATTAAGAGATTCTCAGTGCTGATCAAAGAAGAATTTTGTCCAAGGTTTGTAAAGCACTTTTGGATCCTGATTGATGAAAGGCGCTATAAAAATGTAAAGCTGCTGTTGTGGTTAATGTTCCCTTGGTACACAACAGGAGAAAAGATGCTGAAATTACAGTCACATATATTAATGTTGATCAAGAAATAAGCAAATTCTTCTAGAACCTGATCTCCCTTTCATTATGTGCACTTGATCTTCCATTTTCAAACAGGGCATAGTTAGGTCCTGGAAAATCACAGCCTTGAACTCCACCAAACCACAAGTACAGATTATATATTATTATATGTAATTTTGGAAATCTGTCTGGAATACACCATCAAGCAGGAATAAAAGAAAAACTGTAAGGACATTCATATTTGTCAGCGTCTCCCCAGACAGAGCCCCGAGGATATGATATTCTTAGAATAAAGCTTTCATTTCACAGCACATCAGTGGGAAAATTAACAAGCTCTCCTTGTGCTGTTCCATAATTCATTTTCTTTGTTTTAGATATTGAGCTGAGCTGAGCTGG